GCTTGATTTTCATGTCTTTAAAAGTTTCTACTTACTTTTAGTTTTGTTGGTTCCAAAACTTCTCATTGTTTATCTGCAACAAGGATGGCCATAAAGTTTTCCTCCTTGTTTATGTTGATGACATTATTATCGGGGGTAATCACTCTTCTCTTCTACACTCTATAATAACTACCATGAACTCTCGATTTTCCATAAGAGGCCTTGGAACCATCGACTTCTTCTTAAGAATTGAGGTAGTTCAAACCTCGTAGGGAATTCTTCTCTCAATGAAAGTACATCAATGAGATTTTATTGAAGCATGGCAAGCTGAATTACCAATCGATCACTACAACCATGTCGACCACGTCCGAGTTGAGTAGCACAACAAGCTCTATCTTTGATGAACCTACTCTATATCATCGGATAATAGGCGCCTTACAATATTTCACCTTAACACGTCCGGACATTGCTTATATAGTGAATAAAGTCTATAAATATATGCGTGCTCTATGGTTGGATAATTGGATTGTTGTTAAAGGCATATTATGTTACTTAAGACACACTGCCAATCATGGTCTACACCTTCATATGTCCAACTCTTTCCTCTTTCTGGTTTTTTGAACTTTGATTGGGCAAGTTCTCTAGATGATAGAAAATCAACAAGTGGTTATGCCATTTTCCGTATCTAAATTTAATGTATTTGAAATCATCCAAGTAAAAAATATGGCCTATAGCTCCATAGAGGTCGAATACAAATTAGTGACTAAGTTAGCTATAGAAATGGTTTGGTGCCTTCTCTTCTAGCTAAAATTGGGTTACCTCAACACACAATTCCTACAATTTAGTGTGATAATATAAGAGCCACCTACCTCGCAATCAATCCGAGTATTTTAAGCTTCTATGAAATATATTAAAATTAATTTTCATTTTGTCGGAGACTTAGTAGCTAGAGGGAGCTTACAAGTGAAATTTATTATTGGTCTAGATTAGATAACGGACATCTTCACTAAACCCCTATCTAGTACGTAGTTTATTTTCCTAAGAGACAAACTTATAATTGGCGAATGCGCACTATCGGTTGTAGGGGAGTCTTAAAACATGCTATCGTAGCGGTAGTCTCTATAACGTCTCCTTCTTTAATATCCGTAACATGTCCTTCTCTAACACTAGCGCACCTTCAACCACGTCTCTTTCTCCGGAATCAACAACAGTCATAGTAAAGGAATAACTTTTGTAATAAATAAAAACCAATTTAACATTATAACGAGTAGCTGTAAATATACTCTGTAGCTAGATATGAATAGTAAATTTTCAAGAAACCTATCCTTTACATACTTGTAATCTTATAAAAGGTAGAGTTACAACTTGAATAAGATTAAGAAAGATATTATTCATTCCTCTCTTTCGTTTCAATCTTAAGTGTTAGCTCACTAGTTGTCTTATGATTTAGGTAAATCAATTATGTATGCAAACTTGATGTGAACTTGACGACGATGTCAAAAGGAGCTAAACTTGCCGAATGTGTACTATAACCGTAGTTTAAAAGTTACAAGTTTAGACATTTTATATCTTTCATGTTTTAATACTTTTGCAAACTTAGAATGTTAATAAATATATGGTAATATATGGTTTCGGATGTTTATAAACTAGCTTGATGTTTTGACGAGGTTTAATTAAATGGTTAAATAACATGAATTGATAAAATGGTTTCTAATAACTTAATGGAATGGTTAAATAAAAATTATATATAAAGTTCAATAAAATGGTTTTCTATTATAATACTTAAAATGGTTTCAATGGCCATATATCTTATTAAACTTGAATTGGTTTTTATAATAATAATAAATGGTGTTTAGTTAATTAATAAATTAATAACTAAAGTAGATTTTTAAATGTTTAAGTATTTATGGAATATAAATTTGAAATGGCTTCCAATGAGTTTAATTTCGGGGAGTTAAGTCATGATGTTTAATTGAACTTTAAACACATAAATTAGAGGTTTGATAAATGAAATGATTTAGTAGCTAGTAAAGTTTAAACTAGTTATTTAATAATTAATATGATTATTCAAAAATATATTTATTGAAAAATGAATTCATAGTTCAATGTGTTTTATATAATTATGTTTTGAAACTAAATGAAATAATTTCTAATTAAGAGTTCTATTTCTATTACATGAATTGGTTCTAGTTTTCAAATCAAATAATCTTCCGTTATGGATCGGTTTTCAAATATATTTATATATAAAGTTGAGAACATAAGGCTTAGTGTCTCACATTTATTGCACTTTGAGTATGAGGCATTGTCGATAATATTTTTAGCCTCGGTTAATTTAGGGGTGTTCAATAAATAACAAACTTTATGGTATGTATCCTTTTTTCAATTGAGAACTCACAACGTCTTTTTTGGGGTTCACATGTATAGATAAAGATAGTAATGGCTTCTTGTTTGTCAAGTAGAGAAGAAAAGAAGATTAGAGATTTTTATGATTTGATTGGGTTTACATTGTGAGGAATTTGTTTTTAAAATCAAATGAGGATTAGTGGGCAACATGTCGTTCGTATAGTCTCAATTTTAATTTTTTAACAACGTGTAATCCTATATGAATTGTAATCCATTGTGGCATCTTACATGTCATGCCACAAATATGAACTCAAAAATTTGGACAAAAAATGCCTCCCATGCTAAAATGATTATCGAAGCTTAGTTCAAGTATTTTCCATTTATTTTTGAAAGAATATGTCAAAATGATTAAAAAGTGCAAAATTCATGCTTTTATAATACAATAAGCCTATATATATATAAGCTTAAGGATTTGTCTTTAAAAAAAAAATTGATAGATTTTTTTTCTAAAAGCTTGTAGAGATTTATCTTAATTTTGGGATCATATATATATATATATATATATATGATCCCAAAATTAAGATAAATCTCTCTCTCTCTCTCTCTCTCTCTCTTTATATATATATATATATATATATGAATGATCCCAAAATTATGATAAATCTCTACAAGCTTTTAGGAATATATATATACACACTTAGTTATATTTTATTTCAAGTCCAATGCTATTTAAATGTTATGTTTTTATAATGAGTCTTCGTTTTATTTTATTTTTCTATTCCAATACATATATTAATTTCTAATACAAATTAATTCTATTATGCCAAATACAAACACACTACTATTAATTTCATAAAACAATTTTAAAGTCGACATAAAATATTTAGCTTTTAGATCCTACTATTTTCTTAGTTAATATTTAGTATAAAATAGTATTATGATTTAGTTTTAATAATTAAATAATGTTTTTTTTAATAATAATTGTAGTTAAAAAAAAAAAAAAGAACAACCTCTACAATTTAGGAAGCTACATAACTTTTAATAAGGTAAGCCTCAAAGGCACAAGTTACAAAAACCCAAAACATAATCGCAATGGCCTCAAGTAGCCTCTGTCTGGAATAAAAACAACATAAAGAACTTGATTATAAGGCTTGGATTGAACTTTCTTTCTACTTCTTTTTTCGTTTTTTTTAATTTCAATAATTTTCTATACATCCATAATTAATAACATATTTCTTGACCACAGTGATGCTTCACTAGAAATGGAAGTTTCTTTGAGGTACATTGAAAAGAAAAAAAGAAAGAAAGAAAAAAATAATCATTAATTTTCAAAAGCGAATTCTTCTGTTTTTGTTTGAAAACTGAAAATAGGTTGGAATTAATGTGCATGTGGGGTGTTTAAACGTCCTAGTTCCCTCTAGCGTAATCCAGGATATATAGATATATCTATCTATCCATCTTTAGCATAATATGTTGGGCAATCACAATACACTCTCTCTCTCTACTTCCTTTTTCTATATCTATCTTTCTTCTTTATGTCCAAACTCTACTTATCCTTTACTTTCATCTTGTTTCTTTAAAGAGAATGTTGTGATCGTGGTGTCTCAATGACTTAGTCACATCCTCCTAACTCCAAATATGTGGAGTATATCCACTATAACTTCCCTAATAATTGTACTACTTGGGAACTTGAAAGCCCCAAACTACAATTCCAACAAATCAAGACTTCCCACCAACTTGGAATTTTCCTCTGTTACCTTTTCAAGTTCCATAAAGCACGCACAACATTCCAATACTTGATCCAAGTCGCCCTCCAAGCTTCCTCTACATTCTCTTTCGGCTGTCTGCCACGTGTGCTGCTGTGAGTTGGTCGTTAAGAGCACAATGTCAATGTGTGCTATCCCCATTGGCTTCATCTCAAACAGACCAAACCGTTCCCTCGCCATCAGATTAGTCCTCCTAATAGTAGCTGCCAAATGAATCCATCAATCTTACAGGTCCACATAGATCTATATGCTTATGAAAATCTTATCCTTGCTTTACGATAAGATATAGGACCTTTCCTTGCCATGCTTTAATATGGCACACAGGACATGATTCGACAAGTGGATTATGACCCGTGATTAAAATCTTCTACGTGACATTAAAGCCCGAGAGCTCATCGATTCATGCTATTAGGCTACAGCTACTCATGTGAGGTTCTTGATAAAAATATAAATGAATCTCGATCGATCGATCAAGAAGTCCTTTCATTTTAGGCCTTTTAATTGATAAAAATAGCAGTGCCCAAAAGAATATAATGAGGTGGGGTTGTTGAAGTGAAGTAGATAAGGTACTTCCATGTTTGATAGTTGCAAATTACTACTACCTACTTTAAGAGGATTGGAAGCAATGATCGGTGGCCGGCAAGTTTCATCTGCTGAAGGAAATATGTTTTGGGTTGAAATTTGGAATTGGAAAGGGCAAGTGCACGTGACATCTACGTGTCTTGAACTTAGAAGTGGACCAATGAACAGACCTCCTAAACCTACACGTGGATCCAATACGTGGCTGGTAAAATATATATATACACACACCTATATATATAAATTTAGGATTGCCTTTGCAGTCCAAAGTACAAGAAGCTTGACTTGGTGCATTTCCTTAATCAGGAGATCACAGCGACCAGAAGGATCAAAATGGGTAGGAGATTTGGTAGGTTGAAGAGAATGGTGAGGCAACAAAGAGGAAAGCTGTATCTTATCAGGGTGTGCATTACCATGCTTCTTTGTTGGCACAAGTATTCATAGAAGCTAGCACATTTTACTGTAACTAATTTTACATAGACTCAAATCACAGTCTGTGTTGTTAATGTTGCTTTTCTTTAATTTGTTGGCTTTCGTAAGCTTCTATGGCAACTTGTATTCTCTCACATTTTGTAGTTAAGACTTGTGGTTTTAAGACCAACATATCATGTCAGAAATACTCCCCTTCCGCAAGTTTCTCTCTCTCTCTCTCTCTCAATTCATGGCAGATGTTGCACTTGTAATTTAGTTGTTTAACACCCTGTACAACTCCTCAATGTGCATTTCATTATATATGTGATTATACGTGCAAATATCTAGCTTTGTGCTTGCATTGCATGTTTACCATGCGTACATTATTGTGGGAGCTTAAATGCAAGCATCGATCTTTGTCTTAATTTTCGTTGCCTTCCTTGATTAGAAGCATGCATATCAGTTTCATTTTTTTCTAGAATCCTTCTACTTTAAATAAATATTGGAAAAAACTTGCCGCAAATATTGATATTAAGGTAGCAGTTCGATTACCATTCTCAAATTGAAGTGTACTTGATCATGTATCAATTAAAATAATCTTGCTGCAGTGAGTTCATCAGTTTTGATTTTCTAACATAATAAATATTCTGTTCCATAGCACAAAGGGAAAAAGAAAAAGGTTGTAATCGTGTAAAAAAGGAACAAAACTCACCGGTCAAACTTAATTTGATTTCTGTTTGTTCTTTATTCTGCCGTTAAGGAATTTTTTTCTAATTCATTATGGTTAACAGCTAGTATGCTAGCTATTCAAAAATGTCAAAATCGAATAGCTATATGTGCGACAGAATCTATTTGTTTTCTTTTTTATTATTTATTTGTCGCATGCCAATATAAGAGTAGTTTTTGCAGCACAAAACAAGTTGCATGGTAAAACTTAGTGTGAACCCTTGGGATTTTGTGTGAGCCATCATTAGATTTTAGATCTTTTATTTTGACATATGCAAGTAGCTAGCAATATAGCATCCATCCAATTCCAAACAGACCCTGAAAATCAGGAGGCAGTAGCTAGCAATAAGTGTATGCTATCTTCCACAGAGATGGACAAATTACAGCCCAAGTGAGAGACAGGGATGGCCTTCAAAACTAGGATAAGTTGTAACAAGTCCTTTTCCAGGTGATTTGTCAAGGAGACAAGCTGATGGGTCTGCTTTGTTATCTTCCTATTCACAGTGGGGCCCTAAGCCATTCCATTAAGTCCTACTCAGGGGCCTACACTTACCAGCCACCACGCATTGTCTCTCCTACACAAATCTTCTCGAGCTTGGTCTATATAAGGAAGGCCTTACTTCTTAAAGCTAATTTCTTGTAGCACCCTTGAAAACTACACTCGATCATAAACATTATACATACGTAGCTGCTAGCCTTCCTTAATACCTGCTGCCTTAGTTCTTTAATTACTGCAAGAATATTATGGCAGGAAACTTGCCCTCAATGAAAATGCCAAAGCTCCGATCGTGGCAAAGGTGTTCAAGGATGGTTCGAGAGCAGAGAACGCGTTTGTATATCATTTGGAGGTGTACAGTGATTCTCCTACGCTGGGATGAGTAAATTTTTGATAGTGAAAACTACTCTATATAGCTAGCTAGGTATAAATCTTGAGAGCTTGGTTTGATCATTTTGGTTTTGTGGCAAGGGTCAGTAAAGCAGCATGTGTAATTAGTAGCTGATTATAATTAAGGCCAGCATAACAAAGAAGTATACAAAAATAGCGTTTTGGGAGACATGCTAATGAGTTGTTGTGAATGCCATAATTTATTATTATTATTTTTTTTAAAGGTAAGTTTCTTGATAAAATTTCCTATACAGAAATCTCTCTGTTACACAAACACAAACTTTGTTCAAAGCTTCATCTTTAATATTTGGGAATTATTGAAAACAGGGTAAATTTAAAGTTGATTTTGCACATCTAACACTTGCAAAGTGAGCCATTTACCATTTGTTTAGTCAGTTCTGGGGAATTCGTAATCTCCCATTAATCTAACTCTGCAACTTTGTGCTAATCTCCCTTCCGATTGAGAAGCCAGAAATATTTGTTAAGGAGGGCAAATTCATTGACAAGAAAAAAAATTAATTAGGATTTATGTGAAAAGATAGAAACTATGAGGAATAAAGAGGAGAGTTCAAAAAATTAATTAGCCCTCTTCTCTATAAGGTAGACTGGACGGTACAACACCTAGAATCAACCGTTCTCTCCCAGGATGATTGTTTTTTTTTTTTTTTTTTTTAAAGAATTTCAAAACCATGAATGTACGGAAATCGTTTTCCTTCAAAGTAGGATTTGAATAATCACGTAGACAACACAATATATATTAAATTGAAAACAAAAACAATGAATAACAATATTTTCCGTTATTTAGAGTTTCAAAATTTTCTACTACATTGTTCTTCTGGCATATTTTGTGTTGACAATTGTACAACCGTCTACGTCAATGGATGTCTTTATATATATATATATATTGTTTCAATAATAAATATTCCAGAAAAAATAATAATAATCTAACCAATAAAAATTTCAATGGGAACAGCGAAATTAGCGTGAAAGAAAACAGTAATGCTGAGTAATAGTCACAGCTCACACAACTTGGTCTCGGAGAGAAGACCAAAAACTACTAGGCACAATAAAATCATAACACTAGTAAATGCCTACAATTTGTTGATATGAGCTCCAATTAATTGTCATGTAAATATATTCTAAAAACTAATCGGAGCTGCTAAGAGATTCTAATTCCTCATATCTGGCACATTTATGTTTTTTCCAAGTACAAATCCAGATAAAACATAATGGAAAAGAAAAATAGTTGAAGGGCATAGGTTATCAAATATAAACAAAACTTGTTTTCGCTATGTTACAGACATTTGGTTCATTGTATTACGGGGCTTACGGAAAATAAAAAAAAAAATCTCTTTTCAGGATTATTTCCACAAGTACATATGTGTATAACCTATTTATCTCTTGTTTCCGAGAAAAGGCTCCCCAGCAGTACCTTGCAACCTTGTGGCACTTGAATCATTCTCAGATTTCTTCAGTGTTTTCCCTGACTTACTTTGGCCTCCCTGCAAATTATAAAAAGAGACAAATCACTCTTCAATCAATTGAAGAATTCATTTGGTTATTGAAAGAAATGACAATATCTCAACATGAGTAAAATCAGTGGGAGACTTTGATCCAGGGAATTGGGTGTGTTTGTTGGATATAAATTCAGAATGATGAACCACTACTGATTTTTAAACATGATCATACATGTGGAGCAGTTTTCAAATTTTTGTACCACAATCTCTGAGCATGTGGACAAGGGGCTTTTTATTCCGGGAGAGGAGATATGAATATGGCTGTTCAGCATTGGCATTATAGATGAAGCATAAAATAGAATTCAACGCAAAAAGAAAATGCCCAAGACATGATTTTCACTTACAGCTCCCTTATTGGCTGTTAACCGTCGACTTGATGGTGCCCGCGCCACAGATGAAGCAGCTGCAGCTGCAGCCACACGGATTCTGCACAGTAATTTAGAAAAGAAGCTATTAATTTTTTGGCAATTTTTGGGCACCAAAACTAAACATCTAGCTCAATCAACCGCAAAATACCTTTTATGCACATCTACATATTCATCTGTTTCATCCACAATCTCTTCCTGCATTGTTAAGACTACTATTAGCATACTTGGGAATGGCTACATATATACCAGAACTGAAAGGAAGAAAGATAACAAAGGCCTCTAATTAACCTGCAGAAGTTCTTCAAATACATCTTCTAGGGTGATGATACCAATGACTTCACCATCTTCAATATCCTCTGATAGCTGGGGCAAGCCATTTATTGAAGCATCACTACGCTGTGAAGAAGGCTGCCTACTTGGCCTTGAAACCCTATCAACATCCACAACAACACTATCTGACTTCTCATTTTTCTTGGACAACAATGGGGTAGTCAATTGGGAATCCCTGCCAGTTACTTTGTTTCCTTCATTTTCTTCTCCATCAATTGTTGGCGGAAGAGCTTTGCTTTTCCCCTTAGCCTTCACAACAGCAGCCATATGACTGCTACCCTTTTGAAACTCATTCAGTATATCATAGAGAGGCATATCGGATGGAACCCTGGAGAAATACCCACACAAGAACACTTAGCATATATTCTATACTTTGTTCTTTGAGGAAACCAGAAAAATATAGGGAAAAAAATGAACACCGTGGAATTCTTCGGATTGAAACTGCACTAACTGGGGTCTCTGTTTCAGGTCGAACAGTGAGAAGGCTTTTCACCTAATTCCAACAATAATAAAAACAGCCACATGCATATCAGCTAATTGTAAATCCATAGTAACATACATAACAAGGGAAATCTATCAACATGCCTTATATATTAAACCATCCCTCAATCATACCCTTCTATCAAGAAATCAATTAACTGTAACTTTTAGTTTGTTTATATTATATAATATACCCCTCTTCCAATTATTTTCATTAAAATTGATAGTTGCATGCGCTGCAAGTGAATAGTTTCAATATCAATAGATGAAATTACCCTTTTAAGTCTATTTATATTGAAACTATCAATTGCTGCCCATGTGACCATTACTTTTACCAAAAATATTTGAGAGAGGATCTATTAGAGAATAGTAACAAGCTAAAGTTACAATTGATGGAATTTTTTTTTTTTTTAGTATGATTGATAAATGGTATAATATGTGAGGATAGATTGATAGGTTTCTCATATATTAAATAATATAACACTTAAATATGCAAAAATCTATAAAATACAAAACCCACCAAAAGAAGTCCAATGATATTTTTTGGATTCCCAGAATACACAGGAACTCGGCTATGACCACGGGCAAGAATTTTTCCCATAGCCTCCCTGAGTTACAAAGTATTATTAAATAAATATACAAACAAAAGCATACACAAATGTTTAAGTGAAACATAGGAAGGTGAAAACGCCATGGCAAAAGGAATAACTCAGGAACAACTGAGCAAAACTTACCAGTCCAACTTCGAGTTGACATCTAAGGAGAAAGTTGATTCAATAGGTGTCATAGCCTCTTCAGCAGTCTGGTCAAGTTTATACATGAAACATAAAACATTACTTTAAGATGCAGGCTGAAAGAGAATCTCAAAATGTTTAATCAGGGAGTGGCATGATAATGAAATAAGCCACTTTGTGAATTTATCAGCTAATCTGCACAAACACCCCCCACCACCAGTTATTTTTTTACTTTTTTTTAAATACTTGAACTATGAAGCATTTGGATTGGAACCCCATCTGTTATGTTCAGTACAAAGAACATTATGTTTCCTCCATTAACCTTAAAACAGGTATTAATTGGAAAAAAAAAAAAAAGCAATGCCCAATCAGGTAAATAAGAGAATTTGCCTAAAATTATCATAAACAAGATATAATCAAAACTGGCTTGCATTAAATTTTCTCACGACTATATGATTGTATTCATAAAGAGAAAATTATATGGGTAACTGCAGGAAAAAGAGACAGAGTGCATTAAAAAAAAAAAAAATCAAGCAAACCTCAACAGTTTTGCATCTCCAAATTCCCCATCTCACTTCAAAATCAAAAAATTCTTAAGCTTAAAATGATATAAAATTGAAAATCCCATTTTCTGTATACGGAACACACTACAGCACCAACATTTTTTTCAAAAATTTGAAAACCCCTATTGAAACAAATCCTTTTTATTGGCATCTTATTATCTCTTGTTTCATTCATGAGCTTTGTCTCAATCACTGAACTCGATTCTAAGTGTAACTTCTTTCAAAAACGATTTCTGTTTACATATCCAATTGTGTGTATATGTAAATATTGGTATTTTGGTTTGTTTCATACCTGAGTTTGGTGGGTTTTTTTTTTTTTTTTTCCCACTGTTGACAATTGAGAGAAATGGGTCTTGAGTATAATTATATTCTCTTTGGTGCCAATGAAAATGCAATAGAAGAATCATAGACATGCCAATGGAAAGAGTATTCTTTTATAGCTTGACATAACAATCATTTAGCTATCTAGGGTAGAACGTGTAATTTTCACGTCATTGGAAAGATAAACAACATGGATGGAATTTGATCAAAGTATGTCAATACGAACATCCCATAATTCAAATATTGGAACTAAGCCAAAAAAAAAAAAAAAAAAGAACACCTGAGGGAGTGCCAATCAAAACAGGCAATAGCAAATTCGCTGAATTAATTTGTCATCTTGAGAAATTTATGATTCGTCATATTGAGAACATCCCATAATTCAAATATTGGAATTAAGCAAAAAAAAAAAAAAAAGAGTGAGGGAGTGCCAATCAAAACAGGCGATAGCTCAGGAGGTTTTGTGCAGATTCACTGAATTAATTTGTCATCTTGAGAAACTTATGATCACAGTTCCAGCTTAGAAATGAAGCTCAAATCAACTTAAAGTAGAGAAGCGTCTCAATGCTTCTCAAGAAGTGTATGCAACAAGCAAAAACACAATTGACTACTGAAGACTCCACCCCGCCCTCTCCTCACACCCCCTATCCCCAATCAAAGCACAAAATTTAAGATGAAGTGATCATGTTTCCCTAACTAATACATGTCATGCATCTGAAATCCAAGAATAAAACAAAAAGGAAAAATATTATGTACTGTTCATGATTGTTGTTGCACAACAAAATGACCAATATCAAAATTTTACAATGAAGAATTAAGATTGTGCATACCTTTTCGGTCAAATCCAGTGCCCCACTAATAATTGTTGTCTCATCATGTGTGAGTTCACCACCCTTGCCAGCCTAGATGTATCAAGAAAGGAATGTTACATTGTAAAGGAGAAAAGGAAAAACAAATGAGGATATATAATACTTCAGTAGTTTTGTAAATATCGACACATTTCTCTGGTTGATTAACTTGTTATATATAATAAGTATTCTACATTTTACTTTACCTCTTGGCTGTGGATGGAAACAAGGGCTTTTAATTGAGCCCGCCTAAATAATGCTTCATTATGTCCTAACACCCAATCCAGAACCTGTAGCATGGCATTTCTTAGAATTAGAGAGTACATAAGAATATAAAACAGGCTGTTTGGAATACAAAATGTAAGGATAGGCTTAATTATCATGCAGTAATAAGTTGCAGAATAAAATGAAGTGTTTTTTTTTTTTTTTAAGTTACTTTTTCTCAGCCAGAAAAGGCTAGATTTAACTGAAGGTTCGTTGTTCAAATCAGGTTGAAACAAATTATGAAGGTACAGTTTTTTTTTTTTTTTCCCACTTCAATGGGATAGGAAAACAAATACATCCTTATAACACACGAACATGGACAAAAAGTACAGCCACTCACAACTCTCTATTCTTATTCTACAAAAATCATTACAGCTGTAGCAAACCACAAAATCAACTATTAATCTAGCTCCACAGTTACCATGTTTCTACAGACAAGAACATGCATGCAAACAGAGAACCATTAAGTGAAAGAAAGATGTATAGTCTACAAATAAGAGCAAGAGCTAGCATTTACTTGAACCCATAGGAAAAACTTGTCCTGCTACTAGCTAAGAGAAAACTTGAACTCCACTTAGCCCTTTCAAAACCATATGCAGGGGTGGATACAGGATTTTATGCTGTATGCATTAAGATTGTTTTTGTACCAAGATGAGTTCATATGAAGCTAGAAAATCTACTCATCAAAGGATAAAAAATAAAATAATAGGTAAAACCTTGGGCTTGTTTGACTGCTTTTCATTTCAAAAGAGCACTAGAAATTTATCAAACAAGTACTGTTCCACTTTACCAAATACTTATGTAGTCAATTTCTGTTGTACCACTTACCTTCCCGATGGGATATGAAACTGGATAGCAAATTATCATTAAAATGCGCACAAGCCATACAAAATTTGCCCCAACAGCTAGTCCATATCTGGTGCATATTGCTTGTGGAATAACCTGAAAATAGAAAATGTCCACGTCAGTTAAGCCTAAAAAGTTTTACTTTATCTAATTTTTTAAGAATAGTTAAAGAAAAGCTGCTTAAGATGAAAGTAAGTAGCCAAAAAATGTACCTCCCCAAAAGCTAGAACAAAAGTCACGGAAAGTATTATAGCAACATACTGATTGAAAAGCTTATCCAAGTATATAGGAAGCGCCTGCAGATCACAATATCCAACTGCTGTCAACAATAGCTAATTGAAACTTCAATCAAAATACGAATATTCAAGAGAGAAAAATTTCTGCAATTATCTGCAACTTCACTAAGCAGCCTCACTTTCTAAACCAAACCTAATCCTGTTACTCACATTTTTGCAGTATACTTTCGTTTCCTTTTAACAATATATAAAGCCAAAATCTCAAAAAAATAAAAATAAAAAATAAAAAAAATCCCTTCCTAATAATTAATCTAGACAATCGTAACAAACAACGCTATAGTTAATAGGATCTTCTCCTAATTGCTGGTGAATGCCACATCTCCTTGATTTCAACATAAACAAATGAGATAAATTCCAAGGAAGATTACCTCCATAGCAACAGCATTGCAAAGAAGCAGAGTCACCAGAAGCTGATGCTGCCTTTGAACCACCGGAAGGATTGCAGCTAATAAAATCGAAATTAAGGACTTCTATCACAAAATGAGAGAAATTTTCAATTTTCACTGCCGAAATTGCATTTGAAATTACGAAAGTACCAACCAGCTTGTTTTTTCTCGGTAGAAGTGCCACTACGTTGAAGAATTTCGAGGTCGACAAGGCCAAGAGACATGAGGCCTAAGGTAAGACCAGACATGATGCCTGCGAAGAGAACAAGGAAGCAAGAAATTCCTGCGTAGACAAACCATTCCACCGATCCAAACGGTATTTCGTCTCCTGCTCCATTTGATTGACCTAACACCGTCAACATCCTCGCTGCCATCACCGCATTTATCAGCTGCATCTTTAAATTTATCGACAAATTATTATTGTAATTATTATTTGATAATAGATTTGATTTTGGATCTCTCAGTTTTCTTAGTTGTCTCTCTGTGAGATACACAGTCTAGAGAGAGAGAGAGAGAGAGAGAGAGAGAGAGGGGGGGTAAAAATAATAATAAGAAGAAAAAAAAAAAAGAATGAAAGAAGAAGCATATGCAGCAGCCAGCAGGTCAGGTCGACGAGATACTGGATTAAAATAATATTAGCCATGTCACTAACACGTGGCGGGATCTCGAGTGTCTTATTAGGTCAAAGTAACTAAATCCTTTTAAAATACGAACGGTGATCTGTGTTTGTTGCCATTTATGTCCAACGTATTCATAGACGGAAAACGTGCCACGGGAATATTGATAACGAAGAATGTTGGTAAAATTGCTTCCCACTATTCATTCCAATGTCATGCTAGCTAAAATGCGTTAGAAATAACTTGCTTTTATAGCAAAAATCCCTGATGTTATATTATAATTTGATAATTTTAAGTTTTTATTATCAATTTAAATAGTTTAAATTTTAAATTATTATTTTTTAGATAAATATTATTTAAATTCTCTAATTCTTACTATTTGTAATAGTCAATATAAAATATTTAAATGATATTGTTTAAATATTTCGATGTTGATTTAAAATAAAATTTTAAAAATTAAATGTTCAAAATTAAAGAGGTAAGACAGATACATGCAATCCTTTGAAATTGCATAGAGAAGATAGATCCTTCACGTTTATTCAAGCAATATTAGAAGGTAAGTTTCAAAATTTTATGCTTCAAAATTAAGAAAATGATTACAAATTTTTTTTTTTTTTGAAAAAATACATTGACAACAAAAGAAACATGATTGATAGCTCTAATGAGAAAGAAAGAGGAGAGATTGAAAAATTAAAAAAAAAAAAAGTTCAACACAACTAGATTTTATAATCCATCTCCTTACAAAACAAATTCTTAAAATGCAATAATTAAAATAAATCTCACCTTTTAAATGTAAACGAAGTTCTATAAAATCAATCACCACCACTAACCAAAGTCATGTAATAAATTTAGAGGAAGAGGGGTTAGATGGTGTCTTGCGATGGCATTCAAAAAAAAAAAAAAAAAAAAGGAGACAAGTACAAATATGAAAAGAGGAAAAGTTTGACAAAGAATTTAGGAGAAAAGGAAAAGTTACGATGAATAAAGAATTAAAATTGAAAAAAGGAAAACGAGGCTCTCGATTGGCCTCCATAGTATCATAGATCACCAAATCACCAAGAACCTATTTGAATTATTTCTCTTAAAAGGGAGCCCTATCACTTGAGTTCCACCGCCCGTCCATCTACTTAGTAACTACACGTTAAGTGACATATTAAGCGACAAATTAAAGAACGACATCCCTCGAAAGGTGCTCCTCCTTCATTAAATGACTATTCTTAACTCCACCACCATTGGCACCACTTGAGTTCCCCGCCCATCCATCTACTTATTGCGGGTTGGGAATTGATGAAGAGCTTATGGCATTGCTTGGCGGGACTCACTAGTAAGCGACATAGGATTATCATTTTACATAGATGACTTTGTTTCTCTCTTGCCTTTATCTCAATTACCTTGCTATGCTCTCATTTTAATACTTGCTATTTTGTTATGAAATGCTTAGAGACCAATGTTCTTGACATAATATGATTAATCCATTTCAAATTGAATTGTACCTTTAATGATCCATTACTATTAAATTAGCATTTTGTATTTGGTATATAACTCTTGCTATCGGTATTCATATCCATATATACCATCACATTCGGTTCTCTCATTTGAAGCCGTATGGAAACAATTAACATTTCCTTTTTATGAACTTTGATAGGTTTGCCCCATTTTTGTTACTAATCCAAAGGACATGGCCTTTGGTTATGGGCATCAGGTGAACCATGTTCTATTAATGCTTTTTTGTCATGACAATGGGATCACGACCACAAGTACTTTATTAACACCTCTTCTATTTTGCGGACTTGTTGCGACTATGGAGAAGACCTCCAAGTGTGCCCCATATACGGAAGGTCAATGCATACTAGAATCGAAGCTCTACCGATAAGTTTCAATGCAATCTACGAGATTGTCTCTACTTCCTACATGTTTGGTTTGGTGGAAGCTAAATCAAATGCTTATTTTTCTAAGGCGAGTGCGGGTTAGCCATTTAATAAGGTTTGGATGCCAATTATACGTGTGGGATATTGGATAGATTTATTGATCTAGGTATGAAGTTAGGGTTTAGCATCTATCTTGCATTAATCGAAACTTTGTATAAGGCAAAAAAAGGTATGAAGGGTGATTAGTATTTGAATCAAATGGTCATTGATGGACATTTGTTAGATGTATTTTCATGTAACATACTAATTAATTGCTTCGAGTAAAGCTAATGTGATAAACAATGCGGTAAAGGCTTTCAAAGTGGTGTAAGATAAAGGTATTTCTCCCAACCTTGTTATTTTTAATACCCTTATTGATGGAAATTATAAATATGGAGAGGTCCACTAAAGCGCATGAGCTGTTGCAACTGTTTTTAAAATGTGGATTGAAGCTAGATATCTTTACTTTTAGTTTGATAATTTATGGTCTTCATCGAAAGCATCGGGTTGTCGATGCTTTAGCTTGTTTCGGTGACATGTTAGAGTAGGGTATCTCTCCTAATGATCACGTACAATATATTGATTTGCTCTCTATGTGTTATAAGGGATGTTATTAGATCAATGAAACTCTCCTATCGGGTAGTTTCATATTTTACGAAAGAAAAATGCGGTCTATTCCTAGTGGAATACACATATTGAGTTTGTAGATTTCTATCTCATGAAGAAATAAATTTTGGGCTTGTCGGTATGCACCACTCAATTTTTCTTCTCAACCTTAACCTTTTTATTATGGTTAAAAGGAGACAGAGGTTAGGTAGAAATGCGAGAAATTTTCTCTTTTTTTTTCTTTCTCCTATGTTACATATAGAGCTAAATGACATAGTTGGTTATCAAGTTTATCATATGTTGTAGGAAAATAAAAGGTCCTATGGCTATATTAATGTTTCTATTTAATATAAGATCCTAGCAAGTTTACCAACTGTTGCTTTTATTACTACTATTACTTCGGTGATTCCCTAGCTGTTGCCAAGGAATACGAGAAGAAGGAAGAGCTCATTGAATAGTCGATGAAGAGCTAGGTTTCGACCTCTTTGACTAAGTTTTGTGATGGTGTTTATCTAGGATTTTACCTTGTTGTGATGAATATATTTTAACTTCTTATTAGCTCGTTGCTAGTGTTATGCTACGAGTTGGGATATTGTACTTTAGTTTCTTACTAGTTTATTATCCGTGTTATGCTACACAATGAATAAAAGATTTTAATTTGCATTCAATAAGGTGTAATTTTTTTAATTTATTTGTTTTTTTGACAAAACAAATGGAGTAAATTATTGAATTTGATGACGAAATAAAACTATAATGTTAAAGGTAGTTACACGATCGCCTCTATAAATTCTTAAATTTGAGGCGGTTGTAACGACTTCAAACATTTTACGTTAAATTTTTTTAAAAATCGGGAGCGTAGAGACGGTTATCAATCACCATGCAAATTGTACACCAAAAAAGAGAGACATAATTGGCATTATAGAGGTAGTTGTAACCACCTCAAAAAAATCAATTTAAGGTGGTTCAATCTCCTAAAAAAAACCACCTCGGAATTCTCTAACGATTGCAAAAGCGCCTTTAGAACTTAGATACGATGACATTGCGGGCGATCTTAAGGCGGTTCATAAAACAACCCTTAGGCTTTGTAGAGGTAGTTATACAAAAGAGAAAAACCACCTCCAATACTCTTTTTTGGTGTAGTATATGTGCATGTATTCCTATGCATGTGTTCGTACTCATGTTATTAAAGTATGTGTATGTTATGCTTTGTGTTTGCATTAATGAATATTTAGCTTTGCAAGTTCACATTATTAAGTATTGTGAGTGTGCAAGTGACTAAAGGACTTGAATATTAAAATTAAAGGATTGAGGATTTAAGTGAGTTCCATGACAAAGTAAAATGACTAGCTTGTTAAGTCATTCACACTTGTAGGACCCAAAACTATAACTTCATTAAATGTTTCATACATATGTTGATAGCATGTCATGTGTCATTATAGAGCTTTCAATCATGATAATATAATCGGGACAAGTAAGGATTGAACCCATAGGAAAAAAGGCCATATCGATCGTTTGTTTTTATGGAATGTTCTTGTAATATGAAAATGAGGGTTGGTCCTAAAAGTGTTTGAAGATAAATAAAGTAAATTGAAATAACAATATTAAGAAAAACCTTGGTTGAACTTCGGTATCCACTTTCGGTTTGGTCGCCGATCATTGATTAAATAATTAACTCATCCTAAACATGAATATTCACCATAGGATAACATGTATGTTGTCCCAGTCTTTTCTTACTTAGTCATTAATTGAATATATAATACCCGATTAATTCTTTAGCTACTGAACAAATTACTACATGCTAGATAGATTTAATTTAATAAGCTATTACTTGCAGGTGTTCAAGATCTAATTTTCATTGGATGGTTTGAGTTATTGTATCATTGCATTATTTATTTTATCAATAATAAAAAAAGTCTTTCAATTAATTCTTATTTATTTATATTTATTTATTGAATAGAATTAGATAAAAGTCTATATGATATGCATTTATATTAATAATTGATCAAAACATGTGAGACAAACATTAATGCACTTAAATGATATCATAAATGTCCCTAGTTATAATATCGTCAAGAATGGACATTAATTATATACAATTTAACTTATGAGTTCTATTCTCATGTTATAGGATAGAAGTAAAAGATCTTATGCTTATTGGTATGATGATGCCAAAGTAAACACTTAGGTGATTAACGTTAGAGTAAGCACTTAGGTGATTAATGTTAGAGAACATATCAAAGGACT